TGGATGGATGGATGGGTGGATGGGTGGGTGGATGGATGGATGGATGGATGGATGGGTGGGTGGATGATTTAAAGTCTAAACTGAACTGACTTCCTGTTATTGGATGTGTTCTCCAGCTGAGGACGATTGAAGCTTTGCTCGGCAGCACAGCTAAACTTGGTGAGGTGATTGTTCTCGGAATGATCACGCAGCTGAAAGAGGTAAATCACTGAATAATCTGAAAACTTTATTCTTTGGGCTTTTTGTCTTGAACATGTCTCAACGTGTCTTTAAGGGTAAGTTTTACCTGGAGGACCCGAGTGGAACAGTCCAGCTGGACATGTCCAAAGCAATATCCTTTGAACGGCGTCAGAACTTTGTAAACAAACGGGTTTTCATTTATTCCATTTTTTGTAAACACGTTCCTTAGCTCCTTTCGCACCAGTTTCATAATGGGCTGTACACAGAATCCTGCTTTGTACTGGCGGAAGGTAAGATTATAGAACGGATATGGAACGCATCATCAAGTAAAGTAGGATCCCAAATAGCTGTAAACATGCGTTTGACATATAGAGCTGAAGGAGAGTTACCCTGTGTCCTGTAGGTTGGTATGAGGACTCCGTGTTTCACGTCAACGGCTTCGGGTTTCCACCAACAGAGCCGTCATCATCTACAAGGTCAGTGAGTTCACATCCTGGACATCTGACATAAAAGACAAGATGGGACTTAAAGTTTTGCTGTGCATCTTTTTCTGTGTGGAAATCAACTTGCTGGACTAAAGCTACATTTTGGGAGCATCGGTTAACTCTTACATCAGTCAAGTTTATTTAACTTGTTATTTCTGCTGCACTTAAAATGCTGCACAGTAACTTTAAGTGTTTTATCTGTAATACAATACAATATGTTTTATATTTATTTATTTATTTATTTATTTATTTTCACCTTTATTTCAGCAGACATAAACACTAAGAACAAATTCTTATTTGCAGAGCTGGCCTGCAGCACCAGCAGGTTCTTGTAGGGTCAAGGGACGGAAATTAAGGCAAAACCATGAAATATAGAAGTCCGTAACAAGGAGACAAATTATTTAACAGTTTATTGTCAAAGTTAAGCGACAACATTACTAAGAAAGCATTTGCAAGAATATTTAAAAAACGGCTTTTTATGATTTTTAAAACTAGAAACTGAGACAAGTGAGGTCAGATCCAAAGTTTTTTTAAGCAGGTTCCAGTCAGGTGGAGCAGCAGAGCCAGACTTGGTCTTCAGAGTTGTTAACCACAAACACTGAGAGGATCGGCTGTTATACTTCAAAACCTGTGCTGGTTGCAGTAATTAGTAGACCTGTCGCAATAAACAATACATTAATTAATCGCATGATAAATGAAGATTATTGACTTCATTTTCATTTATCGGCTTGACCATTTCTTCGTGTCTCTCTTTTTCTACTGAAGACACTGGATGACAAAAAGCTCAACTCCAGTGCTCTTCACTGATCCCTCTTTCTTTCTCTTTAAAATCTGCTTTTAACGATCCAAAATCACATTTTTGGATCGTTAAAAGCAGCTACGCTACGAGCTAAGCTAACAGGCTGACCTCGAGGAGAAAAACCTCGGTCTTGACGAAGCTCCAGAATTCACGGTTGAAACTCGTGCCTTTGTGTAAAAAGTTATTTTTCTCTGCAAAAAGAAGCTGAGAACTTGTTTACTGATTTTTTATTAAAAGCTTTGTGTGACAAATGCTATGCTAAAGAGCCACACTGAGCGTCCGCCATTTTCAGAACTGAAAAACAGGAACGAGAGACAGCCCATGTCGCGTCAAGGGGCCTCCCTCCCATTTTTCTTAAAGAGACACACTGCTCACTCCCTCACTATCCATCCTTGAGATCAAACGGTCTTATACTGCCATCCAGTGGTCACAAAAGGTACTACACACAAAAATTTACCAAAATTTCTTCTTTCTTCGTTTATTGTCAAAACAGTTGCTAAGGCTTTCCAGCTTTTGAAATCTGCATTCAACATCATCCAGTCAGATTTGTTCCGCCTCAAACTTGTCCTAAATACCGATAAAACCAAAGGGATGTTTTTTTCAAACAGGAAGTCGGTCCCAGCAGTTCTTCCTATGATTACATCCTCAAATGGTGTCCCCATTGAGTTTGTTGATTCCTATAAATATTTGTGTATCTTGGTCGACTCACATCTCTCTTTTAAGCTCCATGTGGAAAACTTGGTGAAGAAACTGAAAGTTAAACTGGGTTTCTTTTTCAGAAACAGATCCTGTCTAACTCTGAATGCTAGAAAACACCTTGTAACTGTGACCTTCCTTCCCTCAATTGATTACGGTGACATTATTTACATGAACGTTCCTACAAGAACCCTGCAGATGTTGGATGCTGCAGATGTTGGATGCCGTCTATCATGGTGCACTAAGATTCATAACTGGCTGTGATTATCGTACCCACCACTGCACCCAGTATTCACTGGTTAACTGGTCACCATTAACTTCACACAAACTCTCTCACTGGTACATTTTCATCTTTAAATCACTTCTTGGTCTGTTGTCTTCATACATCTCCTCCCACATGTCACTGTGTGAGTGCAGCTACAGCGTGCACTCTCAGGACATTATTACCTGCAGTGTTCCCTCAGTGAGGACTGAACTAGGCAAAAGGGCCTTCTCCTACTCCGCTCCTGTTTCCTGGAATATCTTACAAAAAGATCTGAAGCTCTCGACCTTGACCTCTCTAAGTGGCTTTAAGAATCTGTTAAGACTCCTGGCAGGGACCAATGCAGACATGTTCCTGTTTTTAGTTTTCTACATTCACCTTAGAATCTAGCTGGTTTTGTTACTTTTTTCTATCTTATTTTAATTTGTAAAAAAAAATAAAAAAAAAATCTGTACGCCTCTTTTATAACTGTCCATTGTTGTCATCATTCTTTGTTGAAATCAGGTCTCTCTTGTAAATGAGTCCTCGAGGCTCAATGGGCTTAACCTGTAGAAATAAAGGTTGAATAAAAAATAATAATTCTTCTTAAATTTGACAATTAATAATTATTGTCAAATTTCAAACAATATTATCGTTTATCGCAATAATTTCCGAGACAATTAATCGCCCAACAAAATTTGTTATCATGACAGGCCTAGTAATTAGTTAAATATGGAGGTGAATAACCTGCAACATTTTATAAATGAGGGTAAACTAATGACTTTCACGAGGAGTCTGTAGAGAAGCCATTTAACGAGAGAGTAGAGACAGTGATGATCTATGAGGAGCGTTTGTAACAAAGAGAATAGCAGAGTGATAAACTGTGTCCAGCTTATGAAGGGCACCCTTACGAGCATGTCTGTAAATTATGTCTCCATAATCCAACAGAGATAGAATGTTTTTTTCATCAGTGATGTGTTTTGCAGTCGATGTAAACGAAGATCAAATTCTATCCAGATAATCAAGTCTGGCTTTAACCTTAGTTTGCAAAACATTACCATGATGTGAAAAGGTCAGAGCACCATCAAGCCCAACTCCCAAACATTTATAAACTATAACTGTAATTACATTTGCTGTTTGTGGATGTAACCGGGACCTTGAGTACACAGTTTCATTCCACCTCATGTGCCACATGTGATGTGAATGACAATAAAGAACGTTGAACTTGAATGTCACCACCGTGGTGGGTATGGTTCCTCCTCCATGAGCAGATATTAGCTTACTGCTAATTGTTTCTGCTTCGTTACAGTATGTCTGCCTCTTGCATTAATTACAGGGCGTACTATGGCAACATTAACTTCTTTGGCGGTCCATCCTCCACGTCGGTAAAAGCTTCCTCTAAACTGAAGCAGCTGGAAGAGGAGAACGAAGAGGCCATGTTTGTGGTCGTCTCTGACGTCTGGCTGGACAACGTGGAAGTGATGGACAAGCTCAACCTGATGTTCTCAGGTCTGACTGGAGCCTTTCCTGCTCAAGAATGCGCTCTATGAAAGGCTAATCACGTTGTTTTTGTTTGTTTGTTTGTTTGTGACAGGATATGCTGCCATGCCTCCCACCTGCTTTATTCTGTGTGGAAACTTCTCTTCTGCTCCTTATGGGAAAACACAGATTAAATCACTCAAAGGTGAGCGTGTTGGGTCAGGAACACCTGAGATTCCTGACAAAGATTAACGTTGTAGGATTTTATTGATGTTGCGTATAAACGTGCAGTTTATTCTGCTTTATGACGCGACCAAGCTCCTGAAGGCTTTAGCTGCATCTGCCAACCCAGTTATAGGAGTCAAGCCATGATCACAAAGACACACGAGTCCTGTGACAATTCCACAAACGTTTCATCCCACAACATGAAACCATCCTGGATTCTGACTAATCTGTCCACAACACTCATCATTACTAAGTTTTACATAGCCATGTTTACTTTTTTAAGTTTATTTATCATTTATTAAAGCAGAAATTGCTATGATGGAATTTAGCTTCTGAAGTTCAAACGTGTGCATAAAGTCCAAAATAAAACATGGAGTGCATTTAAATTTTAAATCAAAACCAATATGTTTTTAATTTTTGGAAGTAAACTACTAATCAAACGATAAGAAACAAACTGAACTGTGTGACGGATGTGGCATTACCTAAAAGAGAAGTCACATCATGAAATGTTTCACTAAATTTTATGTGATGCAAAAACAGCAAATTGTGATCTTAAATAATCAGTTATTGAAACTTTATGATTGGATTAAAGCAGCAGCCACATGCAGCGTTAAATCATTTTTCTTGTTTCTTCCGTTCATGTTAGAATCATTGAAGGCCCTTGCTGATCTAATTTGTTCATATCCCAGCATTCACAGCAGGTAAGATATTTATATTTCTCTTTGTTTGAGCTTCAGTGTGTTTGAGTTTAAACACGTCTGTCCCAAACCTGCAGTAGTCGTTTTGTGTTTGTTCCTGGTCCTGAAGACCCTGGTCCAAGCACCATACTGCCAAGGTAAGCGTCTGGTTTGTGACATCGTTGGGGGACGTTTTCTCGGTGCTTTGAATAAATGAGACACATTTTCCTCCCCAGACCTCCCCTGGCAGACCACATCACAGAGGAGTTCAAGCAGAGAGTGCCGTTCTCTGTGTTCACAACCAATCCATGCAGGTCAAGCAAACATTTCACTTGAATGCTGTAACTGCAGATCTAGAGAGCCCACCTGAATATAAGCCGTGCACACTAAATAACAAAATAAAAACCTTTTTTGGACATAAATAAGCTGCGGTGTTCAAAACTTGTGAAAAAAGTAGCAGCTTATTTACTGGAAATTACGGTTATTTTTTGTTTTCTTTGTGGACACTTGTGTAAAACTGACATTTCCTGTGGTCTGATCAGGATCCAGTTCTGCAGCCAAGAGATCGTCGTTATCAGAGAAGACCTGGTCAATAAGATGTGCAGGAATTGCATCCGTTTGCCCAACAATAATCTGGACATCCCAAATCACGTAAGTTTAATTTTATAAAGTCATTTCAAACACAGAAATGTTGACTGGTGGTGTAAAATCTATCAGACGTTGCTGTGAAGATTATTTTAAAAAGCTGGAAACTTTGTTCACAGCAGGTTACTTCTAACAAACGATACAAACTACAACACACCTTCGTACGTTTGTTAAACCGTCGTTTTCTCTTCCTCTCCCCAGTTTGTGAAGACCATCTTGTCTCAGGGTCATTTGACCCCCCTGCCTCTGTATGTCAGTCCCGTATTCTGGGCCTATGATTATTCCCTGCGGGTCTATCCGGTGCCTGACGTCATTATTTTTGCAGACAAGTACGATCCCTTCAGCATCACCAACACCGACTGCCTCTGCTTCAACCCGGTATGAAGCCTGAGCAAACTCAAAAAGATGTTTCGACAGAACATTTTGAACATTGTTCTTCCATCTAGCCTGACCCGGTATCATGAGTCTGGACTTTTAGTGTTTGTCTCTTAAAGAATTTGTCATTTCAGGGCTCATTCCCCAGAAGTGGCTTCACATTTAAGGTGTACTATCCATCCAACAGGACTGTTGAGGACAGGTGGGATGCATTTTTAAATGTAGCTTTTAAGTTGTAACGCATACGTTAAAATTGTATTTCTTTATTTTCACAGCAAACTTCAAGGACTCTAAAGAAAGTGATGGACGTGCAAACAGTGGCTTCCGTTTGCTTTTGGATCATTTTTGTATGAGATTTTTAAATGTATCTAATTAAATAACTGTTCATTAATAATAAAGGTTTTATTCTTTGAAATGTGTTTTCTCACTTTTTGTTGTACGCATAAGAGTCAGGTGTATTTTATTTATTTAAACCTTTATTTAACGTGATCTCATTGAGGTAAAAAAATAATAATTCAAGACGTGTATCTGGAGAAAAATGCTTTAAAGTTGGCAAAAGTATTCTGAATAAAAAAATATGTGTTTAAATGTGAGTTTGACACTGGATTGTATAATGAACGCTTTGTATTCTGTGTATTTAAACAAAATAAATGAGAATAGTTTTATGTATATTAACAAGGATTTTTTTTTTTTTTTTGGCCAGTTTATAGATTTTATTCTTAATACCAAGGTTTAAAACAAATATTTTACTTCTAAATGTATTTTATGTCAAGTGTTCACATCTTAATTTATTTTTTTCTATAAAAATATGCTAGATGATTTATTAACATCCTCAAAGAACTTTATTCATGAGCATTTTCTAGTTTGTTTTTTGACAGGGCATTATAAAAAATGTAAATTTTAAAACTATAATTTTTGAAAATGAGTTGCAAAACGAAATTTGTTATTTTTTATTTCAGTAAAGTGGTCTTTAACTGAAAATTTACACAGAAAAATGAAGAATAAATATAATTAAGATGTGATAATGAAAATTATTATTTTAAACGAGAAAAATGCGGACATTGGCTTCGACGTAGTTTTATTTTGAAAGTATTACAAAGTAATGGTAAATGACAGGATTGTTTTTAAATAAAACCTTGTCCCGTATTATGTCAATGTTGCAAAGCTAAAATTAACTTTCCTTACAAAATCTTACAAAAAAAGGATCAAATTAAAGCCACCAAATACAAATGTAGCTTGGCTAACTAACTGAAGTTAAAATTAATTATTTATGCGTTTGGACTGTTTCCGCTTTAAATTGTTTACTTCCGGTTGCACTTCCATGGCGCTTGTGATGACCTCATAAATGTAGGATTGCTTTTCAAATTGTGGGGAATTTATAAATCTGAAAAGGTGGGGGTTTGATTTATACAAATGCATTAGACTCGTGCTCATTAGAAACTGGTCAAATTAAACTCGGACGCGGACATTTGAGTTTTATGTCGATGTTTTCATCTGATTGTTTGGGTGATAACCTACAAGCTAACGAGCATCAATGACAAACCTGCGATTTACCTTCGAGCTCGTCTAACGAGACTTGGTGTTTTCAGTGACATCTTAACCAAATGTTTGTTACGGTAACCTGCATTTAAGCTAACTTTGACTAGCGGCTAACTTTGTTTTGAAGTTAATGAGCTGCTGCTCTTAACATGACCGCTTCTCAACAGGTTTCTAAAAGTCTTATGGTAAAATAAAACTGTATTTCTGTGTAGGATACGCTTTTGTGCGTTATGTTTAGTTGATAAAGATGGTGCCATTCTCTTACGTCCATAAAAAATAAGCATTTCTGTTCCAAACCAGCTGCAATCAAATGATCCCAAACTTTTTGCCTTCTCTGGTTAGACTCATCTGTTCCCTGTCATGGCTGAGAGAGAGGCAGAGATGGAGGAAGAGGCAGGAGGTCTGCCAGCTAGAGAGGAGGACGACAACGACTCAGACGGAGAAGAAGATGACCGACTGTTTGCTTGGATGGTAAATGATGATCTGGATGAGGAAGATGAGGTGGAGGATGAACAGCTGGTGGACACTGAAGCCTCTGAGTTGATGGAGTTGGACACCCCAGCTGAGCGCAGTGGACATATCGCTGTGGTGGACAGAAACATCATGTATGTGTGGGGGGGCTACAAGGTAAGTTATATTTCATGACATGTAGATGTTCAAATAAATCATTTTTCTGTTTTTTTTAATTAACAATACAATCACTTTCTATATAAGAATGCTCAAAACCCGGGATTCTTTGACATGTATTTGCCGAGGAATGAGCTGTGGACCTACAACATGGAGTCAGGAGTGTGGTGAGAAAATGGATTTGCAGAGCAGTAACACATTTGTGAGCTGTATGGGTTCTGTGCAGTCATTTTATAGAAATATGTCGCCAATCCTCGCAGGGCAAAGCACATAGCTGAAGGTAACCTGCACATGTCGATGTCAGGCAGCTGTGGCGTGTGCGTTGATGGAGTCCTCTACCTATTTGGCGGTCATCACGCCAGGGGAAACACAAACAGGGTACATTTCTGTGCAACATTAGCTTTATTTTAAGGTGTTTATCGTATTTTCTTACAAGATTTAGAGACAGGTTGGTTCTGTTTGTTGTAGATCTACCGTCTGCCTCTGAGGGCTCGCAGCTTTGTGTGGGAGGAAATGAGAGATCTTAAAGGACTTCCTCCTTCAAGCAAGGATAAGCTAGGATGCTGGGTTCACAAGAACAGGTGAGCTTTAAAATTCAATTCACTTTATTTCTATAGCATCAAGTCACAACAGAGTCACAGATTCTTTATTGTCGTTCCACTACATGTACCACATGTGGTGGAACGACATTATGTACACAGGGTCCCAGTTACATTCATCAAAAAAGAAAACTGTAATAACATCTAAGATATGAACTAAGAAAAACATCAACTAAAAATACACTAAGCACTCATAGCATAAAAACATTATGTCAAACAGCAGCACGAACATGAGTAGAGCAAGTAAAGTCAGCAGCAGAGTGAGGAGATGTGGTGAGTTTGTCCTCCAGCAGTCTAAGCCTGTAGCAGCAAAACTAAGGGACAGCTCAGGAAACCCAAGCCGACACTAACTATAGGATTTATCAAAAAGGAAAGTCTTAATCCCAGTCTTAAAACTGGATAATGTGTCAGCCTCACGGACTGAAACTGGAAGTTGGTTCCACAAGAGAGGAGCCTGAGAACTGAAAGATCTTCCTCCCATTCTGTTTTTGGAAACTCTAGGAACCACAAGTAAACCTGCAGCCAAAGAGCGAAGTGCTCCGTTAGGAAAATATGGAACAGTAAGATCTGTAATATAAGATGGAGCTAGGTTGTTGAGAGCTTTGTATGTTAGAAGTAAGATTTTAAATTCTATTCTGGATTTGACAGGGAGCCAATGGAGAGAAACTAAAACTGGAGAGATATGATCTCTCCCAGTAACTCCAGTTAAGACTGTGGCAGCAGCATTTTGGATCAACTGAAGACATTTTAAAGAAGTATTTGGACACCCAGATAATAAACCATTGCAACAGTCCAGTCTAGACGTGACAAATGCATGAACCAGTTTTTCTACATCATTTTTGTACAAGATAGTGATTTAAAATAAATAACTTTTCAACCACATTTATTTATGGAACAGCAAAAAAAGTTTAGAAACACATGAAAACGTTCCATAGCTCAAATGGTGTAAAGACGGAAATATATTTACAAGAAGTTTTTAGTGTGTTAATGTTAATTTTAGTTTGTTAATGTGGTCTTGCATGTTTTTCAGACTGGTTTTCTTCGGGGGCTATGGCTACGCTCCTCAGGGATCTCATCAAGGGACTTTTCAGTACGATGAGTCGTCTTCTCTTGTGGTTCGTACAAAATTATATTCCTGTCATAAACAACAAATAAAGCTGTTTTTTTTTTCTTTTATAGCTATAAAATTTGATTCTTATCTCATCCCAACAGGAAATGTTTAAAGTATTTGGCATTTTGCCTGTTTTCTCCAAGTCTATGTATTTCTATAAAACCAGATTTAGTCAGTCAGCTTTTGCTGAAGTGTTATTTCATGTCATTTGCTTCTGGTGCAGTGGGACAGCCCTGGACGAGGATGGAACAACCACATCCACATCCTGGATCTGGACTCGTTAACGTGGAGTCAACCCATCACTCAGGTTTAATCACTTTACATAAAGACATGCAGGTTGGATTAGAAATATTAGGATTAAAGATTCAGTTTATTATATGAAGTGGCTGCAAGATAAAATCAGATCCTAAACTAAGACAACAATAAAGGACGTGTTGGTGACGTGTTGGTGACGTGTTGGTGACGTGTTGTGTGTGTTTGCTGCAGGGGAGCACTCCGTCACCCAGAGCAGCTCACACCTGTGCTACTGTTGGAAACAGAGGCTACGTGTTCGGGGGAAGGTTCAAGGTAAGCAGAGGCCAAACGTGGCTGCATATTTTAAATCTCTTGTAAATTCTGTTCAAGAGACTTTTATTGTTAATTAAAAGTTTTATCATTTATTGAAGAAATGCTTATTGCCCATCACCTTTCTGGACAGAGTTCTAGCTGTTTGGGTCAGAGCTGACTTGTTAGTCCTCAGACTGTGTGTTGTGATGACTCTCAGCTACTACCACATCAAATTCTGAGCTCAGTGGCTATAAAACCAACAGTTATAAACATTTCATGATGGCTAATGTTGATTAGCTGTGGCAGCCATCTTAAATTGGGGTTGTCTCCAAAATGTAATCAGTTGTTGACGTGAATCCAGTGTTTCCTTTTCAAGTTTCATTAAAATCCAACCAAAGGTTCAAGAGATATTTTGCTAACAGACAACCTTGATTTCAGTATTAAATAGCAACATTTTAAACAAAGATTTTGAATTTGGAGTATGGGATGAGTTGATCAACACTTTTTTCTTTTATCCACCAACTTTGAAACGTTTCGTTTGGTCCACAGGACTACAGACTTAATGACCTCTACTACATTGACCTGGACACGTGGGAATGGCATGAAATGTACGTGTTTCATCTTTTTTTCATGTTACAAAAACTCACGCCTTCAAACCGCTGGTCACCAGACTGGAACTGTTGTCCTAAAAATAGATTTCCACATCATCTTACAGCTCACATGGTCTTAGTATGATGTTTAAATGTTTGTTCAGCTGGTTGTGTCGTTTTACCTCCTGCTGCCTGTGGGTCAAAGTAAAGGTCTTTGACCCACGGGCAGCAGGAGGGTTTATAAGGGATGTCCAAATGGAGTCGTCAGGTTGCATGTGTAATTTTGTGATTCCATCTCTTCTTCATAAAAATAAAAAATCTTGTCTTCAATTAACCAAATAATCTTTGCATTGCTTGTCATAAAGTGCTTCATAGAGAAAATCAAAATTAATCATATCAAGTGTTGTTTCAGATTATTGTGGGGAAAAAAACAGTTTTTATTGCAGAAATGAATCTAACTGGCAAAACAGTCTAATGATTGAAACGTCAGCCAGGTCTGTTTATAGCCTTCATATTGTCTGTTTATTGTTTTTATTTTTCAACTTTAAAGAAGTTCTAAAGCTGTGCTTAAAACAATAAATTTTCAAGTAGCAGTTTTTTATTTTACGGTAAATGAATTTGAATCGACAGTAAATGTTTTGTTTGTTGCTGCGTGGTGGTGCAGGAGTGTCCCTCAGCAGGGTCCTGTGGGCCGATCGTGGCACTCCTTCACGCCCGTGTCATCGGACCAAATCTTCCTGTTTGGAGGTTTCACCACAGAGAGAGAAACGCTGAGTGAGTTTGACCTTTGACCTCAGGAAGTGAGCGATTGTTTTGAAGTGTTGCCTGCTGTTTTCGAGCCGCTCTCGTCCCGTCTCCTAGGCGACGGCTGGTTGTACTGCATCAGCAAGAACGAGTGGAAGCCTCTGAAGCACATTCACACTCAGAGCCCCAGGTACGTCCCTCGCCCTGTGTGTCGGGCCGCTGGCTCGAAGCTCAGCCTGCAACTAGATGAAACTGTTTCCGTGTCTCCAGGCTGTGGCACACGGCGTGCTCCGGCCCGGACGGAGAGGTGTTTGTATTTGGTGGCTGTGCCAACAACCTTTTGTCTCATCAGAGAGCTGTAAGATGCACGCTGGATCTTCTTTTACATTCCTTTTTATTCCTTCAATCATGCATTCAATCTTTTTTATTTTACAGGCTCACAGCAATGAGTTACTGGTTTTTAACGTCCAGCCTAAATCATTAGTCCGGTGAGTGTAAACAAAATTAAATGGTAAATGGACTGTACTTGTATAATTCCTTTCTACTTTATCAAGACACTCAAAGCTCTTTACAACAATCTGTGCCTCATTTACCCATTCATACAGCTCTATACTAGATCTCTACAAAGATTAATCAGAGCTTTAGATCACATTCATACACTGATGGGACACATCGGAGACAACGAGGGGTTCAGTGTCTTGCCCAGGGACACGTTGGCATGTGACTGCTGGTGGATTCGAACCCCCAACTCTTGCATTGGAGGACGACTGCTCTAACCACTCAGCCACAGCCGCCCATAATTTATAACCGCCCAGGATTTATAAACCAATTTTTGGCTGAGATATGAACGTTTTCATTCATTCTGACTGAAAATATTGAACACTAATATTTTCAGCTGCTAGATGGCACTTTAGTATGGCATGCTGTTGTCATGCAATAGGTAAAAATGGCTATTAATGACACAATTGGCTTGCCATAGTCTGCCACCTTCATCCAGTTCGCCTGGAGCAACCGTTAAATCAGCTGCATTTCACTGCGCCCCAATGAAATGCAGCTGATTTGACCATTAAAGTGCATTTATTAAGTAAAAGTTCAACTGAGACACACCTTTACTATAATGTCGAGCAAACAAATAATTGTTTTAGGTGCTTATCTTGTTAAATTTAGAAGAAATGGACAGCATTCCTCCTTCCTGATTTCCTCCCTCTGCGTGCTCCAGGAGCACCGAGGCAGCGAATACTTTTGAAACTGCAGCTGATTTGACGTCAAAGTGCATTTATTAAGCAAAAATTAGACTGATACCACCTTTACTATAATTGTCATCAAACAAATAATTGTTTTTAAGTGTTATTGTTGTTAAATTCTTGTTAAAGTCCTCCCATGCACGCTCTCACGGCTGCCATTTGGCAGCCAATTGATTTTTGGCACAACGCCGGCCCACATTTCCAGGTTGTCAGCGGTGACGTATAATAGATGCCACATATTTATGGATTTTTCCACTTTATTAGACATATTTGGACTGATGTGACTTATAGGGAGGTGCGACGTGTACGGTGGGAAATACGGTAGTCTTGTGTGGAGTTTTAAACCACTTCTATTGTTTTCCTCCCTAGGTTCTGTATGGAGACTATACTGCAGCACAGAGAACGTTTGTCTTGTTACTGGGACTACTTACCTAAACACCTCCTGCACAGCCTGAAGCAGAGGATGTCCCACATCAACACTCTGGGATCTTAGACCAGCGCGATGGTGCTGAGGATTACGTGTTTGTACGGAGACGTTTGTGTCGCAGCAGGTTGGAGCTGTAGTTTCATGTGTGTGGACGCTTGTAGTCCTGGTGTTGGCCACGCAGCATTCGTGTTGTTTCTTACCTGGAAGGAAAGCCCCTCGTCTTTCTGGCTGCTGCAGCTCACACTAAACTCAGCAACAAGGTTTGTGTACAGACAATCTGCATCGCTCTGCTCATTTTCACACGTTCAGCTCAACGTGTCCAAAAGAAGCGAAAACTCCAACCCAGGAAAGAGAAACAAACGCTACATGAACCCTTTACAACCTCAAGTGTGTCACCTTTCTGGTTTTACTTTCTGGTTTTTGCCGCAGCAGCAGACAGAACAGATTCACACAACTTGTTTTAGTCTTCGGCTTTCAGGTGATTTCATTTCTTCTAAGAGGAAAAAATAATATAAGCCTCTTTTTGTTTTGCTATATTTCCATATAAGCAACTAAAACATTTACTGTTTCAACTTGTAAAGGGGGAACACAGCTATTCTTTTTTTTTTTATCGTTTTAAAATGTCAACATTGTCCTAATGTTAAATACAAAGATGCAGAAAAAGTTTCATTCGTTTTGGGGTTCATTATCAAACATTCAGCTTGATTATTTCTCTTTTTTTACTTTTGTCAAATGTTTGATCTTAATTCTCAGACTACAAAAGTTACTTTATGAAACAAATTATCTTTTCAGGAATGACATAAATGTTATTTGTAAATATTCTGAATATGTTTGGGGGGAGTGTTTCCAAGTGTCTCCTGCAACATTTTAATGTAATAAGTGAATGCAGGACGTAGAGGCCGTTTGTCCACGCTGCACTGAAACGCCTCCTCGTTTGCACTAAATAATCCTGTTGGTTTTGTTTTTATTTTATTTTAATAGGTTACACTGCTTCTGGTTACTGTAGCATCTACTTTTTCTCAAATAAAAAACTCAAATTCACAAGATGCAAGTTTTTTTTTTAAACATTTTTTTTACATCTTAATCAGGAAATACAATCAGTCTTTACAATTAAAGAGCTCTTATTTCAACAAAAGGTCCAGTACTGATGGGAAACCACCCAGACTTATTAAATGTACTGAAATCTTAATAAATGGCAGTTTTTTGTTGACAGAATAATTTAAAAAGTTTTGCCAGGTCTTGAATGATTCATTTCTTCTTGGCAGCCAACAAGTTTGGTGCAGACACCTTAACTTTCCCAGGCATGTTTCTGGATAGATCTGCATCCTGAAATACATGAAATGACACAAAGAGTAAAAAAACATTGTGCATGACGAGTTGGCAGTCAGAGTACAAGTTAGAGAGGACTCTGCTACTACCACACTAAATCTTAGGTGAATCTATGTAAAGTCAGCTGAGTTTTGACTATTTGTTGTCACTAAGGCTGCTCAGCTGTGGCAGCCATCTGGTACGCAGATTACTTCTTTAGTTTCATTAAAACCTGCTGGTAGTTCATAATTATTCTTTTTACAGACAATTGAAGATGTACATAGAATCAGAATAAGCTTTATTATCATTGTACCCAAGTACAGTGAGATTATGTTCATACAGTCGTCCGAAAGATGAGCGGAGTGCACGTTGCTGCTGCTCTTAAGAGCGCGGCCCTTATTCTTTAGATAGGAAAAGGCCACGAGGAGAGGATAGTGGTGTTACAAAAAAGATCTCTTCACATCTTGTCCTATCGGGACACGATTTAAGACATCAAAAAACTACCAGCAGCACATTTACATGCATTTGATGATGAGACAGTGAGATTTGTCCATGAAGCACTTCCGGATAGTCCTGATAAGATGTTGGTGTCAGTCGGTACAGTTGTGATAAGTGTTCACAGTAGTTCTCAGGGGGTGTTGCGATAGACCAGAGCCTTTTTAGTTGACACATATCCCAGGAGAAATTTGACAAGTCGGCCTGCTTCGAGGCCAAACGGGAGTCAGATTTAGATAAGCCACAATAGTTGATTTATTTTTTTCTGGCAGACAAGTTTCTCGTCAGCCTTGAGTCCTACTGGTACTTTCAATGATCAAAATGGCCAGATTTGTGGGCTTTTCACTGGTCCGTGCTTATTAGCTCTCTGAAAGGTCATCCCCAACAAGCTGACGAGTCCCAGAAGCCGCAGGTGGCCTGCGATTCTCACAAATCGCTTCCACTGGTTTAGCTCGTAAATCAGCTGATTTTGAGTCCTCAAAGCACGAAGCAAACCTGCAGACAGGGTTGGCAGCTTTGCCATGGCCGAAACTGCTGCTGTCGTCTTCTTCAGTAGCTGAAAACATGGGTAACTGCTGGTGCCAAAAAGCAGAAACCCTGCTATCATGATTCCAATTACAGTGGTGCAAACAAGTATTTAGTCAGCCTCTGATTGTGCAAGTTCTCCTACTTAAAAAGATGGGAGAGGTCTGGAAAATAAGTATTTGGTCAATAAAAAGATTTCTGGCTCTCACAGACCTGTAACTTCTTTAAGAAGCTCTTCTGTCCTCCACTCGCTACCTGTATTAATGGACCTGTTTGACCTTGTTATCTGTATAAAAGACACCTGTCCACAGCCTCAAACAGTCAGACTCCAAACTCAACCATGGCCAAGACCAAAGAGTTGTCAAAGGACAGCAGAAGAAAGAAGATTGTCGACCTGCACCATGCTGGGAAGAGTGAATCTACAATAGGGAAGCAGGTTGCTGTGAATAAATCAACTTTGGGAGCAATTGTAAGAAAATGGAAGACATACAAGACCACTGATAATCTCCCTCGATCTGGACCCCACACAAGATCTCATCCTGTGGGGTCAAACTGATCATGAGAACAGTGCGCAAAAATCCTAGAACTACATGGAGGGACCTGATGACCTGCAGAGAGCTGGGAACAAAGTAACAAAGGCTACCATCAGTAACACACTATGTCAAGAGGGACTCAAATACTGCAGTGCCAGACATGTCCCCCTGCTTAAGCCATTACATGTCCATGCCTGTCCGAAGTTTGCCAGGGAGCATATGGATGGTCCAGAAGAGGATTGGAGAATATCTTAGTCAGATGAAACCAAAATAGAACTTTTTGGTAAAAACACAACTTGTGTTTGGAGGAAGAAGAATGTTGAGTTGCATCCCAAGAACACCATACCTACTGTGAAGCATGGGGATGGAAACATCATGCTTTGGGCTGTTTTTGTGCAAAGGGGACAGGACGACTGATTCATATTAAGGGAAGAATAAACAGGGCCATTTATCTTGAGATTTTAAGCCAAAATCTCCTTCCATCAGTGAGATTATTGAAGATGGAACATGACTTGTTCTTCCAGCATGACAATGATCCCAAACACACCGTTCGGGCAATGAAGGAGTGGCTCCGTAAAAAGCATTTCAAGGTCCTGGAGTGTCCTAGCCAGTCTCCAGACCTCAAACCCATAGAAAATTTGTGGTGGGGGTTGAACGTCCATGTTGCACAGCGACAGTCTCAAAACATCACTGCTCTAGAGGAGATCTGCATGGAGGCATGGGCCAAAATACCAGCTACAGTGTGCAAACCTGGTGAAGACTTACAGGAAACCTTTGACCTTTGTCATTGCCAACAAAGGTTATGCTACTAACAAAAAAGGTTGAATCATGTCATCTGGACTTCGTTTTTTTGTTAA